CCCTGCTGCCTCATCTGTCTCAACACCGGGGTCAAGGACTGGACCTCCCTGGAAAGGGAAGGACCTTCCCTGGGGTGCTGGCCAGGCCACAGGGTGTCTGTGCCAGAGCCGGTCCCTCTGCCCCTGCCCCCGCCTCTGCTCTGGGCAATTCTCTCTGTGCCACAGGCAGTGGGCTCGGGCAGCCCCCCAGCTCAGCTCCAGGCAGCCCTGGCCCCACCACAGGGAGAAGCCCTCCGGGCAGGGGCCCTCTGGAAGTGGGTGCACAGGCACCTCGGCTGGAAGCCCCCAGGAAGGCTGGAGGTGCTCTCCCTCGCTGTGGCCCTCTGTAGGCCCCAGGGACCTGCGCTGTCCACTTGCCCCAACTCAGCAAAGGCCTGGGTGAGGGGTGTCTGCTGGTCCCACCAACCCCTCCACCTCGGGTCTGGGAGCATCTGCCTGGGGGGAGCCATGGCCCAACCCCAGAAATGAAGGCAGCCGGCCTTTAGGGGCTGCGAGACTCAGGTGAAGGGGTGAGGGTGCTGACTGCCAGGAAGGGGGCCGGAAGGGGCCTTGGCCTGGGAATCTGAGCACTGAGTCAGGGGATTGACTGCAGGGTTCCTGGGGTAGTGCCCCACCTTCTCATGGGAAATGGGGGTCAGCCCTGGCCCAGCCCTTGGGGGGCCTTGCCTCCTGTCACTCGGTTACATTCTAGGGGCTGGTCTCAGCAGCCAGGGGACCAGAGCCTTCCTGCTCCAGTGGGAAAGGGACAAGGGTGTCATGGGAGGGGTCCCTGGGGACCCACGCTTAGCACCCTGGTGCCCCCCTCACGGCGTAGCCCCTGCAGGCTCCCCTGGCCTCTGTCCGGCACTCGCAGGGAAGTGGTGTGGTCACCTCTCAAGCACCAGACCCGGGCAGCTGGGGGCTCTGGAGATCTCCTGGATATCTGGGCCTGGCCCTCTCTGCACCAGGGGACCCCAGACCAGCCAAGCCAGTGCCCTTTCACCACCAGGGAGCAGACAACAGAGGGCAGCTGGGCAAGGAAGAGCCTTGGAGGGCTACACAGGGAGTCACAGGTTGCTGAGCCCCGCAGTGGTGCAGAGTTGAAGGGGGGGCGGCAGGGCGGGGTCAAGGGGAGGGGACTTTCAAGGTCACCTACTGGACAGGCCAGCCTGGGCTCTCCAGCTGGCTGGGGCCCCTGGTGGCTGCCTGAGGGAGGGCCAGGCCTGGCTCTGTGACCAGAGCAGCTGCTTTGGAGTCCTGGGGTGGTGTGGGAGCCACTGGCAGGCAGGGCTGGGGGTGCGATGTAGTAGGGGCACAACACTAGGGTGAGCGGGAGGGGCTGGTATGCTGCAGGAGGGGTGGGAGGTGGGGGGCAGCGATGGGGGCGACTCCAGGCCCTGTTCCGTTGCCCTGGGGGCACTGCAGGTGCAACTACCCAGCAAAGCCACCTGGAAGGGGGTCCAGGGTACCCAGATTCCGTGGCCCAGCAGGACACTGGCCATGTAGGGGTCTCAGTGAAAAGTAAAGGGTGAGCAGAAAGATGATCACGCTCAGGTGCCTACTGGTGAGGGCCAGGTGAGCTTGCCCTCACGCCCACCCCTGCCAAGTTTCTGGATCCTAGCTCATAGCTCAGCCTCCTCAGGGCCAGGGGCCGCTTGGCTGTGCCAAGTTTCAGCCCTGTTCACCATAGTGGCAGGGACCCAGGGAACCCACCTGGGCAGAGCTCCCTGCATCCTTAAGAAACACACATGTTCACTTAGCCCCTGTCCAGCTCACAAATGCAGGGCCTCGCAGGCCACTCCAGAACGAGTCCTGCAGGGACGTGGCATCTGTGGCTGTGGCCTGGGCCCTGAGGTCATCTGCACCGAGGATACGTCCAGCTGCGGGAGCAGCCAGGGAACAGTGGGCTCCTGCAACCTGTGGCACTCCCAGGGCTGGGCCCAGGGAGCCCTCCCACCTGCCACGGACAGGGCCATGTGCACAGGTTTAAAGCCACGGTGACAAAACCCACATGGTCTGATCAGTTCTGGGCAGAGTACCTGCCACCAACCCGAGAGCCCTCAAGGGTCCTTGACACCTGTGGCCTCCACTCGGCCTGCTCGGCACCCTTTCTGTCCCTCCGGTGTGCCGCAGCACCGGGGACACGGAAGCCACGTGGCGGCTGGCCTAGGAGTCCCAGCAGTTCTAGCAATAACCGCAGGGAAGGAGCCCGTCAGCCTCCCTGGGGAAGGGTGGGCAGGGCTTCCGGGCAATCCTAGCAAAGCACACGGCTCTGGTCTCGCTCTAGAAACTCTATTTGGTATTTGGTGCGCACCTCGAGCCCGTGTCCTGTCAGAGACACAGGTGTGTGTGTATATATATATATATATTTAATATATATATAAAACATTATTTAACAGTTAAATACATTCCAATACGAATGTCCCGCTGACAGGTCGTCTCCACCACGAACACGGCAGCATTGAAGAAACGAGCCCACGCAGGAGCGCCAGGCCGCTCGGGCGCACGGGCCCAGTCACAGCACAACATAAATATTCCGGTGTGAGCACGGCGTCCCTGTCGCGGTCGAGTCCATTCCTGACAAGCGGTGAGCAGAGGCCCATGGCGGGTGCGTCACTCAGCAGGGACCTCATACTTGAAGATGACGCTGAAAAGCCGGCCGCCCAGCCGCTCCGCCAGCCAGGAGTTCTTGATGACGGCCAGCTTCAGGCTCTCGCAGCGCAGGGCCGCGTAGTAGTTGGTATGGATGGCGCGGCCCATGCCCTCGATGACCACCAGGTCCGTGCCGCGCTCCCGCACCAGCATGGCCAGCCCCTTGTCCAGGCGGCTTCGGGGAGGAAGGAAGAGGGCAGTGAGGCCGGCTAGGGTGACACCGGGGCAGACGCTACACCCTGTCTGCCCCCAGGGGCCCGAAGACCCCCACCCTCCTACGTGGGCTCCACAGCCGGCCTGCCGAGCAGCAGGTGCGCCCCCGTCACCAACAGGCACCCATTCTGGAAACAGCCTCAGTGACGCCTCTCTATTCTGAACCTGGAAGAACCTAGTCCTTTCGTGGGATCTGTCATCCTGCCCCACTGGTCAGCAGGGGCCTGGAAAAGGGGTCAGACCGACTGGCTGGGACCACGACCAGGCAGATGGAGAGACCGACAGTCCCCTCCACACGCTGGCTCCAGAACCCCAGGCAAACACCACAAAAGCGACGGACTGTCTGGGAGGATCACAGCTATAGGTGGGGAGCCCCACTCTCGGCCTCTGAGCCTGGCACCACGGGTGTCGGCTCCTCTCGCCCCACATGAGCCAGACGCAGCTCGAGATGCTGTGACGGGGTCTCCGAAGAAAAAGGGCTGGCTACACAGGGGACAGGGGGACCAGGGGATCGGGGGACCAAGGGGTGGAGATGCGCAGGTACCTGAGGTCTAGGCACGGGGAGCTGGAGCCCGTCTGCATCAGCAGCAGTTTCTCTTCTCTGAGCGCCGAGCTGTGAGCACAAGGGGTTGATGCCCGTGAGGTGGCCCCTGGACACTCCCACTACGCCCCCTTCTCCACCCAAGGCCCGCAGGCCTCCCGCCAAGCTTACTGGACAACAGGGTCCATGGCCGCGATGCGCTCGGCCACAATGAGGGACTCGCTGTAGGTCACGTCGTTCAGGGCGGGCCCCGAGTTGCACGCCAGGATGACCTGCAGCAGACACCCCGGCGTCTGAGGGACCCCGGCCGCCATCCCGGCAACGAACCCAGCTGCTCCCGCCCACCCAGAGCTGCAGTGTGTGCGCAGCCCCCTGGCACCCGTCGCCGCCTCGCAGCCTGCGGGAGAGCTGGCCCTCAGGCTGGGGTGAGGCCGCCCCGAGCGCTGGGGCCACCTCCTTGCCCACACCTACCTGCCACGCTCCGAGGAGCAGTGCCACCCCACCGAGGGGAGCCGGGCAGGCCCCTGCAGCCCTCACTCACCTCCGTCCCTCTAGACAGAAGCTCCCTGACAAAGGGGAAGACTCCCAAAATGGCGTCTACTCCACTGTTATCTGCGAAAATTAAGGCACATTTGTGAGGGGGCCCCTGCAAGACAAAACCAGGACGTTCCGTTGGGAAGAGGCGCGTCCAAGCCTTTCAGACCCTCCGCACGCCACACTCCCCGCGGCGAGGCCAGGGCTGCTGGGTCCCGTGGGCGCTGGGGCAGGGTGGCCCGAGCTTCTTCCAGAGCTGCTGGCCAAACGACCTTTGAACTGAGGTCACTGACCTACTCAGTGGTCCCCGCAGGAGTCAGGCTTGGGACAAGACGTGGCCAGCTTAGACTTGTAGCTGGGGTGGTGGTGAGATGCGGGGCCCCGGGCAGCCCTGGGCTCACCCTCTGCACCCCTCCCCTCCTGTGACCCCGGCTGGTCCCGCTGCCCAGCCACACGCACGCTGTGGCCCTGGGACAGAGGCGGGGCAGGGCATGTACCTTCATTCTCTGAAGCCACTTGCCGTAGGAGTCCACCAGCCAGGGCCGCTCTGGGGGACACAGGGCCAGGGTCAGCTGCGCCCTCTCTGGGGCAGTCACCCTCACCCACCGCGCACGTCTCCAGGAAGTCAGTCCCACCTACCCTCCCCCAGCACNGCGCACGTCTCCAGGAAGTCGGTCCCACCTACCCTCCCCCAGCATGGTGGGAACGAGCTGCCCCCTCGCCACCAGTCCCCTGCCCGACCGAGTCCCACTGGAGGCTGCCTCAGGAGTCCCTACCTTCCAGCTTCCTCTTCGCCTCCTCGAACCCAAACTGGGGGTCAGATTCAAGGACGCTGCACGGGGAGGAGAAAAGAAGTCACACAAACCCTGAACCTCAGCCAAACGGCTCGCTGTGGGCCCCAAACTGGGCCACCTTGCGTCCATCAGCAGTAGCTAGGCGTCTTCCCTAACTCCAGTGGGAGCCACCACCTTGGGCTTTTACCAGGGGAAACATCAGCCCCAAACCCACACCCCAGGGCTCAAGCACCGCTCTTGCAGAAGGGCAGAGGCTCACTCCTAGGGCACTTGTGCCCCCAAAGCCCCAAGCAGCCCCAAGTCCACCAGGGCATGGTCCCCACTGCTGCCTCCCCACAGGCCGGGCCGGCGGGGGCCAGGCTGCTCCACACGACTGGCCCAGGCAGACACTGGGACCTGGAGCCCAGAGTGGCTGTGGGGCAAGAGGGACCCAGAGGAAGGTGGGGCTGGAGGCGAGCACCTACTCAGACACAGCCTTGGCTCCCCAGTCGAAGACGTTCCCGGCTAGCAGACCCTGCACCAGGGCCAGCTGCCGCTCCTCCCAGCCCAGCGCGTCCAGGGCGTGGATCACCCTCTGGAAGCACTTCAGGGCCACACCGTTCTCCTTCTGCTTCACCTGATGGAGGCGAGAGACCAGTGCTGAGTGACAAGGGGACCGTGCCTGCCCCAGGCTGCAGACGTCACCTACTGCGAACCGCTCTATGGGGACAGAGCTCAATGTGACATCACAGCATGAGTCTAAACAACTCAAGGTCGGACCAGGTTAAAAATGGTGCCGCTGTTGGAACGCACCAATGTGAGTGGAGGCCGTGGGTGCTGACGCCCGGCCACATTTAAACTGTGCACAGGGGGCTCAGGAGGGCCTGGCCTGACGGCACGCAGAGAAAGGCTAGAACCCCAGGGGCACCCGCTGCCCTGACTGGGAGATCCTCACACACAGACCCCCCCCCAAAACCCTCCTGAGGGAGAGGCAGGGCAGTAGGAAGAGCTGTGCCTTGGTGGCCTAGACCTTGCCCGCCACCCCCCTGCACTCAGCCTCCTGGTCAGAGTGGCCAACTGCCAGGTTCTGACCCACTGGTCACTCCTGAGAACAGGACTGACATCCACAAACACCAACAGTGAGGCTCCAGGTGCCCTCAGGCGGCCAGGGAGAGGGGCGGGGCTTCTATGAAGCAGCAGTGACCCAAAGCTGGGCACATGGAGAACCTGGAGAACCCACTCCCTTGGAGACCAGGTACCTCCCGGAAGCTCAGGTGGCTGGTCCCACACGTCCACAACCCAGTTCTGTTGCCCTACGAGATCCCATCTCTCACCACGGCCCCCCCTAACTGGCCATGGCTTAGAGCCCCCATGAGGCTTCTCTGCTCTGGGGAGGTTTCTCTGCTCTGGGGTCCCCATGGAGCCTCTGATCCCCAGCTCTTCAATGGGTGCTGCCAACTAAGGGGCTGCCCAGCACTCTCAGGAGAGGAACCCTCACCAGGGTGGCTCCAGGATGCAGCCTGCCACCAGCACTGGGGTTGGGGCTGCTACCAAACCCGCTCACAGGACAGGATGACCGCAACCCACTCAGTGTCCCCTTGCAAGCATGTCCCTGTCCCCAAAGAGGGCGGCACTCACTTTGGAGTAAGGATCTGGGAAGTTGAACTCATTCAAACAGTGCTCCCTCGTATCCAGAAGGCTGCGCACAGTCAGGGTCCCGTAAGCACTGGGAACAGAGCCAGGCAGAGGTGGCTGAGCAGGTGACACAGTGCCCGGTGGCTGATGGCTGCCACACCCTCTGCTCCCAGGGCAACCCTCACAGCACCCAGGAACCACCAGCAGCAGGTGGTGACGGCCAGTGAGTCCCGGCCTCGCCAAGCATCCCTGGGGTATGTGTGTGGGATGTGCGCCAGGGCTTCATGGGAACTCCAGGAGCGGCTCCCTGGCACCTGGCGCACACCCAAGGGTGCTGCTGGCACTTTTCCGGCTGGTCACATGCTGTCACCCTGGGGGAGGGTGGGACACTCACAAGGGCTGGTGTCGCAGCGTCTGCAGCTTGTCCCAGTACTTGTGGCGGAACTTCTCGGCTCTCTCAGCCGCGTCCACGGATCCCGGCTGGCTCGCCACAGCACGTTTCACTACCTGCCGAGGACGGGTGGTTAAAGCCTGGCAGTGCCCTTCACGCGAACGAGAGGCGTGGACAGAAGCAACTGGTGACAGCTTGTCTGCCTGGCACATCTACCTACTGGGGCCTTTCTCCTCAAGGTGGGAACGGGCCATGACTACCCTGACCCCAGGCTCTAACCCATGTCATCCGAGTCCCCACGTCCCACTGGCCACCAGCTCCTGTCCCAAGAGGCCAGGGGGCCCTGGACTGTCTTCAGAACACGTGTGGGGTCCAGGGCAGGATGGGACCCCTCCCCTGAAAACAGGCCCTAGGGGGCTCTCGAGGGGCTTCATGGAGGGTCAGTTGTCCCCCTGGAGCTCTGATGGCCTGAGCCTTGACCCACCCAGGCCTGGAGCTGCCGCTGCGCTCGACCCTGTACTCTCTGAAGAAAGGCAGTAACCAGCACAGCAATTGGCTTATTTGTAAGAAATGTGCCCCGCTGACGCCATGTCTCAACTCTCCATCCCACAAACTACCAGGAGCACACACCACTCAGAAACAAGAGTCAGCCCTCCCGACTCAGGTGACCGGCCTCTGGGAACACCTCACCCCTTCCCTTGGGTCACTGGCCCTCGGGGCCCCAGAAGGGCCTTCGAAGGCCACGCACAACCTCAAGACGTGTCCTCCGTACCCCATCCAGGGCCTCCTCGAAGCAGGTGAGCCAGTACTTGCGGGCCAGGGCGTCGTCCGTGAGGTCCACCGTGTCTGGCACGTAGGAAGATGGGTCCAGAAGCAGCGGCAGGTTGACCAGCGGTCTCTCCAGCCGGTCCATCTCCAGCAAGTCGAACTGGGGGGCGGAGGGCATGTCAGAGACCGAAATGAGCTCCTGCAGGTTCCAGAACCAGCTTCCCTGAGATGGTGAGAGGTCGGCCGGAAGCCGCCCCTGCAGTGAACAGACACCCCGCCCTTCCTCGCCTCGGGTCCCATGTAGCCTGAGGTGCCCATCCATCTGCCTGGTGGCCGGAGACAAAGGCCCTGGGTCCCAGGTCTGCTCACATGGGAGGTCACGCCCCTGCCTGGTCACGGCTCTATCCCAGCTGCCCACCTTACACCGTCCACTGTTTTCCTGCCAGTGACATTTGTGGCCTGTGAGCTTTGGGCCGGCCTTTCCTGCATCAGCTGGGGGCCCTTTTCTCTGCATCCATGACCCCAAACACACCAGCACTTTTCTGGGCCTCATTTCTCCTGCTCAGGGATCCCCCCACCCCCAGCGCTGTCTGTAGTCAGCCCTTGTTCCCTGGCTCCTGCCCAGTGTCAGACCCACGGCAAAGCCACAGTGACCCCTGGGGACAGGCAGCCTTTCTCTCCACAGCACGTCTGCTGACCACACACCAGCTGCGCTCACTGAGGACTGGGCCAGGGTAAGTTTCATGCTGTAAGGAGAGAAGCCGACGCGTGTGCAGCCTGGTCCTTGGACGTGACTGTGTCAGGCAGCTGCGCTAGGGCTGGACAGCAAGTGAATTCCGCTCACCTGCAGGAGGCCCCTCCCGGACCCTCAGGGGACAACCCGCAGGGCACCGCACGCCCAGGCCTCAGCCCTCCTCTGCCAGGAGCTCTGACTGGCAAACCAGCCTGGATGGAGTGACAGGCGAGCTAAGCTGGGAGGGTCTGGCCAGGACCGTCACAGAGGGAGGCGCCAGCTGTCGGAGTGCACCCTGGGACAGGGAGTTCAGCTTGGGACCAGTGGGGAGCACGGCTGCAGTGGTCTGTTAACTGGCCCCCCAATGTCCTGCCTGCAGCCTTTGGGGCTCCTGCCCCGGACAGGCAGCAGCTCACCCGAGCCCTACCGTTCTGGCTGCTGGTCCCCGCACTCCAGTCCAGTCTCCACACTGCGTGCAGGCCCCCGTGGGAACCAGCGCAGCGGGCCCAGTGGCTCCTACGACTGGGTTCCCACCCGACTCTGCTGTGGACGCCCCACCCCTGGGAAAGGCCCCTGCCTCCCCGCAAACCCAAGGGCTGGACTGCAGGTCACGGAGGCGACTCCCGAATGTTTGGAAACACGGGAATGCTAAACGTGAGGAGAAAAGCCAGCCCCGAAGTCTGGCTGGGAGATGCTGCCGCAGCAGCAAGGGGCTTTCCGAGGGAGGCAGGACCCAGGCTGGCCCAGACCCCACACTCACGGTGCCGCTCTTTGCCCGCTGCGTGGGGCAGAGCTCGGGGGATGAGCTCATCAGCCCGGAGCTGCCGGCGTAGTTCTCTCCCCAGCTGTACTGGTTCGGGTCTGGGGAACGAGAAACAGTGTTAGCCTGGGGGACGCTGGGCAGTGGCCGTGTTAGCCTGGGGGACGCTGTGCTCAGCGGGTGCCGGCAAATCTCAGGGCAGCCCACTGTGCCCAGGAAAGGACCAGCACTGAGGGTCTGAAAGATGCCAGGCGAGCGGGGGCTTGTTCTGTGTCATTTATCACTGGCTGTGAAACCTATGACGTGACCATTTAGACCTTTTAAAGCTCAAGAAATACTCCTCCGGTTTTCTCAAAAGAGAAGTGGACTGAAGGACACAGCGGACGACACGCCGTTCTGATGAGCCTGCCCTGTGCTTCCCACTCCCAGGGCAGAAGGGCACCCACGACTCCTCCAGGTTCCTTTACTGTTGTTTACTTATTTATTTACTTAATCTTCACCCAAGGATATGTTTTTATTGATTTTTAGAGAGAGTGACGGGGAGAGAAAGAAACTTCAATGTGAGAAAAACATCAATCAGTTGCGTCCCGCATGCGCCCCTCCCAGGGATTGAACCTGCAACCTTTGGTAGGTGGGATGATACCCCAAACAACTGAGCCACCCAGCCAGGGCCTCCCAGTTCCTTTAAAAAGGGCAGACCAGGAGGACCGTGACGAAGAGGTCGAGCTTGGCTGACCGACAAGGTGGGAGTGGGGGTGGGTCTGGAGTGAGGACAGGCCCGCGGCCCCCTCACAGACCTGTGTCATTCACAAAGACCCTGATTATGTCACATGCTAGCCCACGAGTCCATTTCTGCCGCCCCCTTGTGAGAGTCACGGCCAAGGGCTAGCCTGGCCCTGCCACCGCAGGGGATGGGACCCAGGAAAGGCCGCCACGTGAATAGGGGGAAGCTGAGGTGGGAACCCAGATGGCGGAGTGTTAAGGACCCATTCTAGTTGCTCCCTTCGGTCTCCCATTGTAGCACCTGCCCCCACAGCCACCAAGACACAGGTATGGGCCACGCCCCCACAGCAGCACTACTCACTGTCTTGTTCAGCTCCTTTTAGAAACGCTCCGATGGCTCCCAGGTAGCCTTCATGTCTCAGGAACAGCGCCTGGACTTCCCCCTGCAACGGCAAAACCCGCCTGAAGAGGCCTTGCCAGGCACACAGCTAAGTCCGCCAGCTTTGGTGCCACCTAGCGGGCAGCCTCCCTCTGTGCTGGGGGTTTCCTGAGTTGTCCATGTGATGTTTCAACAGAACTATTCAAATGCAGGATGTAAAAGCTGGTCGTTGGGAAAACACTCAGAATAAACACCCGCCCACTTCTCCCCGTTTGCCAGGTGTGGGGCTCCATGTGCTGGCCCCTGGCCCAGGACAGCCTGACAGGTGCCTCAGTGCTCACCTGACGCTCTTACATGGGGAGACGGCCCCTGGAACGCTCACTATCAGTAACACAGCCAAACTCAGACTGCCACGGCGCCCCAAGTGCAGGACGCCTGGAACTCACGGGAGGGAAGAGGCAGGAGGCCGCCTGGCCAGGCAGCGGGTGCCCAGCTACTCAGCTGCCTGCTCTCAGGCTCCCTCACCCCGTNTGGCCAGGCAGCGGGTGCCCAGCTACTCAGCTGCCTGCTCTCAGGCTCCCTCGCCCCNGGCCCCTGGAACGCTCACTATCAGTAACACAGCCAAACTCAGACTGCCACGGCGCCCCAAGTGCAGGACGCCTGGAACTCACGGGAGGGAAGAGGCAGGAGGCCGCCTGGCCAGGCAGCGGGTGCCCAGCTACTCAGCTGCCTGCTCTCAGGCTCCCTCACCCCGTGGATGGGCTCATTTTGAAGACAATGAGGGTCACACTGGAGTGCCCAGGGGAGCAGGGCCAGGGCGGGGTCCGTTACCTTGGAGAAGAAGCTAATGCTGAAGGTGATGGTGCGCATGGTGACTGGATGGCCCCGGATGAAGAAGCCGCCGAAGTACACCCGGTCCAGGCCATGGAGCTTCGCGTAGAGGCAGGCGAGCTGCCCGATGTCATTGCTGATCATGTGCAGCAGGCTCTTGGCCATGTCCTCCTGGGAGAACTCTGGGGCAGGAAACAGACACCGAGCTGAGCGCTACTGGGCGAGAAGCCACGCGAGCACCAGCGGGCGAGCCCAGAGAGAGCTGGAGAGACTGTACCTTGGTCAGTAGTAGCTGACTTCCCAAAGCTGCTGGCGATGAGGTTGCCGCTGAGCCCCAGGGTCTGGTGGGCCCCACCGTAGATGTCCTGCACCAGCATGTCCACGTTGGCGTGCTGCCCCCTGGAGGCCAGATGCAGTAGCTCATCAAACTTCTGCAGAAAGGAGCAGAGGGAACAGGTGAGGTGTTAGGAGCGGTGGGACCCTGGGGCCCTGAAACTAAGCCCATGGAGGAAAGCAAGCTGTGTGTGGGGTGGAGAGAAACAGGCAGGACGCCATGGACCCAGCTGAGCCATGCTCTGGTCGACTGGATATCCATCCTTCACGGACCCAGGAAAGAGGCGAGGCCCAGGAAGGAGCCACTTTCATAACAATCCCAGCCAAGTGCAGCCTCACATCCCACAGGTGCCAGCCCTTTCCTGGAGGGGATGGGAGACTGGGCGGAGCCAGGGGCATCTTCCTGCACTGCCAGGATACCTTTGTTTTGGTGAGCAGGGCCCCAAGCCCCCAGAAGGTGCCACCTCCGATGGAGCTGCCACCGATCCATTCGAACCTGTCCTCGGTCTCCACCTGGGAGCAGAAGGAAGGCAGGTGAACTAGTGAGCGGGCCCCAGTCACCACCCAGCAGGTCCCAGGGACACAGTGGTCCAGGGGTGCCCCCAGCCACGGGTGACGATGCTCCTGAAGGCCGTGTCTAAGGAGCTTGGTAGGCACTGATGCTGGAAGCAAGGGGCCCTGCCTTCCCATAGACAGCATGCACCAGGCATTCTGCACACAGCTTCTGCCCACAACCGCAAGAGCCAGGCCCCCAGCCACTCGTCTATTCGTGTCCTTGGCTCAGACACACAGCAAGTGCTGGACCAACCACTGCTCAACCATCTCATCCCAGGAAGCCCGGCCTCACCTTCACAATAGAGACCCCAGAACCAATGTTGACCAAAAGATATGGGAAAATGTTGGGGTGATTTGTCTGGAATCGGAACTCGGGGTCAGAATCTTTCTGATACACAAAGGCCTCATGCGGGATGTTCTTCAGCACGAAGTTGCACCCCTTTATCAGGCAGGTCATCACATCCTCCTTGTCAACTCTGCAAGGGAGGAGCCCGGCCGCTGATACCGCAATGGGCCACAGGGAAGGACCCCCGCAGCCCAGCCCCTCTGTCTCCTGGACACACTGCTCCCGCTGGCCCAGCTCAGCTCCCAACCCACAGACACACGGGGTTTTGGACAGAGCAACTCGGGAGATCGGCATCCTCTCTGTGCTGAATGCACTTAGGCCAGCATCCTGGAGCTGCTGAGTGAACCTAATGCCGTAGCATTCCCTTCTCCCCGACCATGAACGGCCCCGCCTCACTCAGCTCCCCAGGAACCTTCTCCTAGCAGGACAGGGATCATCACCCCAGAGGCAGGCTCCTCCTCAGGGCCCACTTCCTTCCTTGCACCCCACGCCTCTTCCCATGTACACACCCACAGTCCTACTGGGGTTCGGCCACCTGAATCCTGCTGCAGCCTGGACCAGAGCCCAGCCCAGGGCCCCTCATGTGTCCCCCAAAGCCTCATCATGGTTGTGAGATGTCAGGAATCCCCAGGGTGGGTTGGGTGCAGGAGCCAGGTCTACAGCCCAACCCCAAAAACGGAGGCTGCCCCCCCATGTTCCAGGGCCTGTGGTCCCTACACACCTTAGTCCCAATTTCTGCTCAATGAGGTCCTTGAACTTGTAGGCCCCGCCCCCGGTCGCGTGGATGACCTTGGTCTCTGTGTTGACCAGGTGGTCTTTGATGAAGTCCAAGCAGGCCTCTATGTAGGTGTTTTCGAACTTGATGAAGTGTAGCCGAGCGGTCACCTCCTCCTGGACGGAGATCTCATAGGGCGACTCGTGGTCCTGCTCCGCATCCTGGGGGTACAGCGGGGGGGGGAGGGGGGGCGTGTGCTGCTGGAGGGGACCCGCCGAGACGAGGCTGCTGAGCACCCACCCAGCAGTGCCAACCATTTCCAATATCCTCGAAAAGGGCGGAACTCTGGCTGCAACTTCGGGCAGGAAGCAGACGGGGGGTGTGGTGGGGAGCAGGTTTCCAGGTGCGGGAGGTCCGCCTGCCATGTCTTTGAGGGCAGGGGGGCCTTGCTGGGAGGCGGGCAGGGGTATTGGCACTACAAATCTCCGGGAGCTAAGATGACCCAGAAGGGCAGCATATGGACAACAACTGGGAGAAGAGCTGGGGGCTGGGTCTGGGCCGCAGCCAGAGGCACCTCTGGCCTGCCTGGGGCTGACCCCAGAGCCTGCCAACCTGGATGACACCCAGGAGCTCACCTGGCCTGAGAGGTCGAAGGACCTCACCCTGGCGACTTTGTGCTGGACCGTGGAGTAATAGGCCAGCTTGGTCAGCGACCCACCTGCGGGCAGGACACAAACGCACACATTTAGAAGCAGGATGGGAGGGACCGGAACGCAAGCCCTCCACACACTTTCTTCCCGAGACATGGGTTGTGGGCACTTGAACCTAAAGATCCGCAGGCACTAGGACACCGAGGATGGGCTCCGAGACCCACCCGCTCTACTCCTTTGGGGGCTGACCGGGCTGGAGGCTGTCCAGTAGTCACCCTGCCGGCCAGGTCGGGGAGAGGAAGTGGTCCTATTTCTGGGCAACCTTGGTGCTCAGTAGCAGTTTGGGAAAATTCTGTTTTAAGCTCTGATTTTGAAAATGATCCAAAGAAAAAAGCTGACACATTCACTGTTTTCACTGAACAGCCCACGCGTGACTGCCCATGGTGACTAGTGGGGAAGGAGGTAGTTTTCCCAGTGTGCAAGGGCAGAGGGGGCTGCTTTCCCCAGGCTCGTCTAAGGCCCTGGGCCGGGGAGCAACACAGTACTGTCCCCCACAGGCTCGACTGGGGTGGTCAAGGCACAGGGTGACCACGGCAGGCCACCAAGGGCAGCAAGGGCTCGTCTCCACAGCCAGGTCCCTGGGACACTGCGACAGACCAAGTATCAGGAACCATGAGGGGCCTTAATTTGCCTGAAATACACTTTGGGGCAAGTGAGGACTCCCAGCCAGAGCACGGATTTCAAGGCTGAGCTCTGGTGAGCACTCCAGGGTCGGACAGGAGGCGCCTGCGAGGCTCCAGGTTCTGCTGCGGCTGTGACAACCCTCGGATGGCAGACAGAAGTGACGTGCTCAGAGCCATAAAGTGACTCTGAAACAGAGGATTTCTTAAGGCTGACAAAAGTAAGGCAGCGTTCTGGTGCGAGGAGAGGCGGCTGACATTACTTTCCAACAACTGTTCTGTGACTATCCGAGGAGCCCTCAGTCAGCAGACAGACAAGGGAACACTGAGGTCTGCGAGGGCCACAGCTCTTCCCGGTCATAAAACTCACACCGCCTGTCCTGGCCGAGCAGCCGTCCGCAGTGTGGAGGGGACCTCTGGCACTGCCAGGACTGCCTCCTGCTCCCCCAAGGAAAGAACAGGCGGGGCCTGTGCGAGTGGGGGCGTGCTCGAGGGCCAGTCAGTCTGGAGCAGAGTGAGCGCTCAGAGCCCGTGGAGAGCAGAAGCTCAGCTGTGGCCAGGACGCCCCCCCCCCATTAGTGTGAATGCCAACCCTGTCGGGGCCATCACACCTGGCCAGTGCAGGGACCAGCCCAGCCTCCACCTGGGCACACATGCAAAGGGAAAGGACCCACAAGCAGCTTCCCTTTACCACCAGAGCCAGGACCTTTCCGTTCACCCAGACCTGGGGGCCTGGCACCGCTGTCCTCCCTACCTCCTCTCTGACCTGTCCTTCCATGCTTGGGACCCAGGGGGGCTGCACACCCCAGCATACGTCACCACCCTGCAGGCCCTGCCCCTTTCACCTGAGGGAACCTCCTTGCTGCCTGCCTGTCGAGTGTGTGTCGACAGGTGAACCGTCCCCGGTGCTTTCAAAGTTGGAATTGCCCTGCTGACCTGGGTGCCCCATCCAGAAGGAGGGGCCGGCTGAGAACACGGACCCGAGTTTTCCTGGTGGAGGCTCGGGCGAGGGCAAACAGGCAAGCCTGTGAGCCAAACCAGACAAACACACGGGCCGGGGAACTCCCAGGCTCCCGAGCTGCACTGAGCAGCAGCAGGTCTGTCCTTACTGACAATGAACACATCCTCGAGGACCAGACATGGGACCCAGCCCCGGGGGACGCTTCCAAGAGAGGAAACAAACACCGACACTAAAAATATCCCTTTGAGTGCCCTCTGCCAAGGAGCCCCACCAGGGCTAGGCCCTGGAACACCAGGCGGCCTCAGGCCCCCCTGAAGCAATGCCTTCCTCCAGGGCCACCCGCTGGCCCCTGGGGGCCACGCCGAAGGTCCAAGGTAAGCCCCGTGGGAAGTGGATTTCAGCAGCATTTCAGAAACATGGAGGACTAGCTTGTTTCCTCAGAGCAGAACCCCCAGTGGAGGGAGGCAGAGCGAAGCCGGAACCTCGGAGCCCATGCCCAACTGGGCCACTCACACCCAGCCTGGGCAGCATTCTGAGACCGTGGATTGGCCCTGAGGGCCTGGCCAAGCCCCTGGAGGAACCTGGCTGTGGACAACCCTCCAGGCTGGGCTCCCATGCCCACCGTCCCCATCCCGCCACCCAGGCAGGCACAGCGCTGCCAGGGCCCCTGGGGCTGACCCCCTGCCACCACCTGTGCTGGCTGCCCCATCACCCACCTGCCCCATGCCAGTCCCCAGGCCCCTCGGAGGCCCAACGTGCTTTGCAAGGCGGGGAACTCTGGCCCCTGGCCATGTTCCCACTCACTGCTCCCCACTTCCCCGGAGGACATCCCCGTCCCCCCCAGACCTGCGACTCGGCCGACCTCCCAGAACAGGACAGCGGCAAACGCATTAAAGGCAAAGGGCTCCAGGAGGACGGCCGGGTCCGCCCGATGGCTCCACTTCCCTGGGAGGAAGGTCCTGCCCAGCATCTGCGGCAGCCGCGCGGGGGCCGCGAGCAGGCGCTGCCGCTGGAGGGGGACAGTGGCCG